CATCTCAGTCCTCAGCCTGGTTCCTCCTTCCTTTTTCCCTGTAGTTGTACAGATGGCATTGTCCCAGTTTGTTCCCCTCTCGGCCACAGAGCTTCTCCTGGCCTCTACCGTCTTCTGCCTGGTATTCTGGGTGCTCAAGGGTTTGAGGTCTCGGGTCCCCAAAGGCCTGAAAAGTCCACCAGAGCCATGGGGCCGGCCCCTGCTCGGGCACGTGCTGACCCTGGGGAAGAGCCCGCAACTGGCGCTGACGAGGATGAGCCAGCGGTTTGGGGACGTGCTGCAGATTCGCATTGGCTCCAGGCCCGTGGTGGTGCTGAGTGGTCTGGACACCATCCGGCAGGCCCTGGTGCGGCAGGGCGACGATTTCAAGTGCGGGCCCGACCTCTACAGCTTCACCCTCATCGCTGATGGCCAGAGCATGTCCTTCAGCCCAGACTCTGGACTGGTGTGGGCTGCCCACCGGCGCCTGGCCCAGAACGCCCTCAACACCTTCTCCATCGCCTCTGACCCGGCCTCCTCATCCTCCTCCTACCTGGAGGAGCATGTGAGCCAGGAGGCTGAGGCCCTGATCAGCAGGTTGCAGGAGCTGATGGCAGGGCCTGGGCGCTTCGAGCCTTACAATGAGATAGTGGTGTCTGTAGTCAAAGCCATCGGTGCCATGTGCTTCGGGCAGCACTTCCCCGAGAGCAGCGATGAGATACTCAGCCTCGTGAAGAACAGTCATGTGTTCGCGGAGAATGCCACCTCTGAGAACCCTGTGGACTTCTTCCCCATCCTTCACTACCTGCCCAACCCTGCCCTGCAGAGGTTCAAGGCCTTCAACCAGAGGTTCCTTTGGTTCCTGCAGAAAACAGTCCAGGAACACTATCAGCACTTTGACAAGGTGAGCCCGAAGTGCAGGTGGCGAGGGGCCCCTTGCAGGGCCTGGGTGCGGCCCTCCTCCCAGCTCTAGCGTGTTCACACAGCTGCTGTGTTGCCAAGGCCTAGGAAGGCTCTGGACACCTCAGACCAGCTGTGTGACCTGGAGCCGATACTTCCCCATCTCTGGGCCTCGGTTTCCTCATCCTTGAAGTTCCCTTCTCAGGGCTCCTCAAAGCGCCCCAGAAAAAAGTCCTGGTAGGCCAGTCATGGTGGCTGACGCCTGTAATCCCGCTGAGGTGGGTGGATCATGAGGTCAGGAGTTCAAGACCAGCCTGGCCAACATGGTGAAACCCAGTCTCTACTAAAACTACAAAAATTAGCCAGGTGTGGTGGTGTGCGCCTGTAATCCCAGCTACTCAGGAGGCTGAGGCAGGGGAATCACTTGAAACTGGAAGGTTGAAGTTGCAGTGAGCCGAGATCACACCACTACACTCCAGCCTGGGCGAAAGAGTGAAACTCCATCTAAAAAAAAAAAAAAAGAAAGAAAAGAAAAACGTCCTGGAAACAAGGCCCTAGCAGAGCCCTGCAATGTGGGGGGCCTATGAGGGAGAAAGCTTTCATTCTGCAGAAACCTGAACCCCAACAGCTCTGGTGTAGCTTCCCTGTGTTCACACTAATCTTTTCCTCCTTTGAAATTGGACCCCTGGGGTTGTTGGGAAGAAGGGTCAGTGGGGCGTGAAATGACACTTTAAGCCATACCCAGGGCTGCTACTGGCTCCTGCTTCGAGCTGCAGCCCACTACCTAGAGACCAAGTGGGGGGATGGGGGTGCCCAGCCCCCAGGGACAGGCCAGGGAAGTGGAGCAAGGTTCAGCCTTCGACCCTGGAAGTGCCAGGTGTGTCCCTAAGCTTGTGCCCCTCAGAACAGTGTCCAGGACATCACGGGTGCCCTGTTCAAGCACAGAGAGAAGAGGTCTGGAGCCAGCGGCAACCTCATCCCCCAGGAGAAGATTGTCAACCTTGTCCATGACATCTTTGGAGCAGGTAGGAGCCAGAATACTGCCCCTCCATCCAAACTCCCTGCTGTCGACCCACAGCCTTTCCCCACCCCTCAGTCTATCAAACAACCCACCAACCCTGCACCAGATGGTGCAATGTACTGAGACCTGGCCTGGGATCAGGGTTTGAGCCTGGGCTATGTCAGCGGTTCTCGGTGGAAACGCAGCAAAGTCCTTCTCCTCCCCTAGGCTTCAGTTTCCCCATCTGAACAATAAAGCGTTATCTGGCCTGTACGTCTAAGCCTCTCTAATTCCAGCAGCTAATTCTGAAAACTGTATCTCAAGTTTATGTTGAAGAGACCCAGCCTCTGTCCTCAGGAAACCCACAGGCCAGGGCCAGAGAAAGCTAATGCTGGGTACTCACATAGTAGGTACTTGGGAAATGATGGTTTCCTTGTTTCTGTCTTTCTTCCTTCCTCGCCTCACACGGCACAGTCCAGGGTTTGATACAATCACAACAGCCATCTCCTGGAGCCTCATGAACCTTGTGGCCAAGCCTGAAATACAGAGGAAGATCCAGAAGGAACTGGGTACGTGGGGGCCCCCAACCCTGTGGCCAGCACAAGCCTGGAGACCCAGGTTGCTTGTTCAGTCTACAAACACCTGTTATTTGCCTGCTGTGTGCAGCCCTGGGCACACAGTAATGCCTGCCCTTGCCTAGAAGATGTGGCAGGTTAGTGCGGTCTCATGATCTCAGAGTAACATGGGGACATGTCATGGGACAGTTAGGGCAGCCCTTGAGCTCTGC